TTCTTAAGGTTACTTACTGACAATCGGTATTATTATTAATTGATGATGTAATAATGATTATTATAGTTCATAACCTTAGTTTTTACTATTAATAATAGTAATAATAAAGAATATCTTACCTCTTACCTCCCTTTCTACCCATTACATTAAATGGAGAATATATATGTATGATAATCTTAATGTCAAATTATACATTATTCATAAAAATGTGGAATGAAATAAAGTATAAAATAATGATTTCTATTTGTTCATCTTTATCTTTATTCAAGCTTCTAATGAAGTTTGAACTGACATTAAATGGAACTATATTGACCCTTGTATTTCTATGAATGTATACACGTGTACATTCTTTTTATATTTCAAATAGTTGTTGTATTTTAAGGAATTAAGTTACGTATAAATAGAAATTAGCATAAATGTTTAGTAAATTTCAATTATGTTTACTAATGAGATCTAGGATGCTCATTTTAACTTGTTTAGGATTGATCAGTTAAATTTAGTTGAATTTCAGTATCGATATTCACATAGAAACTATAACCAAGTGCTTCTACTGTAAAGATTAGCATATTATCTACTGAGTTACTGAGTTGAAATAACCATTAGATTGCGTAATAGGTATAAATTTAATTTATAATGTGTTTTATCCGGTCGTCGCTGATTGTTGTACCGGAGAAAAAAAACACTGATCACTTATACTCTGAACGACGGACCTCGGCAATTCCCACGATGCGAAAGTAAGAACACAAGACTAGTATAAGTGAAGATTTATCAGCCCCCAAAAAACTATGATAACGACGAATCAATATCGTCTAAAATACACTGGTTTATATATTGATTGTACACCCATTTTGATTAATAATTAGGATTAAATCATATACTCAGTTATAACAAATCACTTACTGAGCATAGTTCATGTCAACTGAATACACGAATATCGTATATTATACAGAAGAAAATATCATACTGGGAAAACAAATCAAATACTACACTGAATGATCTTCACGTTGAATCAAAACGGATGTCAATGTTGAATAATGAGTTATTCAATCGAAAATGGATTTTCTTTTCGTTATATCATAATGGTTTAAATCTTCCAGTTATTAGTGTTAAACACTCCAATTGATTTGTATACTCTACTTATTTCTATTCAATTAAAATATTCATAATTTTTTTCTATTATCGATAAGATTTTGTTTATTTCTGTTGTAGGAATTCTAGAATACATTTGATTACTAGGTGTTAAAATATAAGTCCTTTGAGAGAATACCGCAATATGACACTTAGAATGATGTGTATTAGGTTTAATTCTTGGTTTAAAAAATTAACACTGGAATGAAGCTATACTCAGTGAAAAATATTATTGTCCCCCCCCCTAAGATCAACTCTGGTTGGATTTATGAATTTCTATGTACTTATAATAGAACCTAAAGAAAGAGCTTCTGCAGAATTTTCTGAATATGATTGTTTAAAATATCAAAAGTATAACAGTGATATACCTACCTATTCAGAAGATGACATACCTTAAATGAATAACTCTGAGATCCTTATAGTGTGTTAATTGCTGTTACGTTTAGTGAGTCTTACTAATCTGATTCCTTGTTGTATTGACCTACTTTTACCAAGAGAACGCGATCGGTTTAATGGGAACAATTATTATTATAACGAATTGTACCAGTGATTGTTTTACTGTACTTGTTTGTTTAACTGTACTAAAGACATCCTTCCTTCCGTTGATTGTGACCTTGCACGAACTTACGTTTACTCAATAGTTCTGCTTGTACTCCTTTGGCACGATCTTGGTATTATTTCGATACCACGAGATCGCCAACAAATATATTTCCCTACAACCTACAATCGCCTTCTGATTTCTGGTTTACTCGAAGGTTTAGCCTGTTCTGGTAGGCAATCTTCTTGTACTGGTGATCATAGTCAACCGTGACTCGACGTCACACTACAATGTCTCCAGCTGAAAATTTATACATAAAAAATTTAACTAAGGTATATATAATTTTTCTAACTCATTACAAAATTTCGACTAGTTAAAACTAGTGCAAAATTATCGAATAAAATGGTGGGCTTTTTTCAGAAGATATTTGATTATCTTGTTACTTTCTCTCAAAATCTAGTTAAAAACCAGTTTGACAATCCACTTTCTGTATATGTTACTGATCGATAGACTCTAAAACATTCTCACTTTTTCTCCTAGTGACTAACCAGAACATCAGGAAGATGCGTAAAGTTTCCCGTATTATTCTTCTTCACCATTTAGAATTTTAATATTATGTAATTATAAATACAAAATATAAGACAACATCTCATCATTAATAAATTTTAAGTATTATATAACTAAGATATCTGTTTAATCTGGTTGGATGGAGAATGCTGTTGGGCTGCCCATACTCCTCCGCGAGGAGCAACAGGCGTAAGTAAGTAAGTGAAAAAGAAAGATATTTGTGGTAAAAACATGAGCAGATGTGTGTATAATGATATTATTGAAATTTATGAACGATTAAAGACAGAACAATGGTTAATGAGTTCAAAAGACAAGTGTAAAATACACAAATATCACAGATCAGTTGTTTAACAAATACATATTAAATTTATTTACATTGATTTCTCGAGGGGAATAGCTTTCAAAATTTTATATTTTCATTCATTCCGTCAATCCGAGAACAGCCCCCGAATCTTCTCACATGCCCACGTGTATACAACCACTACCAAGGAAGTCCTACGAACTGCCTTCTCACGGCGAGTTATGTGGCGCATATACGTAATCGGTGCCCCTTTGTACCAACAATTATGTGTTCAAATAAATAAATAAAATTCCAAGAACATATTTAACTTGGTATGTTGAAAATTATCCTAAAAAACCTAGATGTAAGCGAACTTTTCTTTACAAATATAATTAGAAAGTAAAATACAATAACAACCGAACAATTTGTATATACGTCTTCGTTTGTTTTTTTTCTATTTTGATATTATATTTTCACCACCACCACCACCACCACCTCCTCCTCCTCCTCCTCCTCTAAATACTACACACATTCACACAGAAACAGTTCTTTATATTTTCACAGAGTAAAAGTTAACACAATTATGTAACCGGTAGATTTCACACTTGTTTAAAAAATATCTCAACAGACAATCCTGCTAATGATAGTTACTACTACTACTACCACTACTACTTCTAAAAGTAATTTGATTTTTAAAACTTTCGCAGATATTTACTGATATTTTCATTCAATTGTTTAGGATTAGCTTCTCTTTAATAGTTTCTTACCAAGATACTACAAACAAATGTATAATAGTGAATTTAGTATGAAATATAGCAGTTTATTATATTACTTTATAAAGTATGAAGTATATCAATGCAACTATTCTACCTTCACACCATTGTTATAAGCAGTATATTATTGTTTGAAAAAGAAATACTCTGATAGATCTAAAGTAGATATTTTAAATAAGAATGTAATAGCTAGCCTAAATTCATGATTTATGGAGTTCAGGCATATCAAGAGAGAAATATCTGTTATCAATAGGAATAGATTATTGTTACAATGTAATTCAAGTTGATTCTATGATTTTGTTTGTTAAGGTTTTATTGTAAAACCTGAAGGTCCTTATTTAGGTGCCTGGTGGTTATATAGGTGCGTAATGCTTATCGGTAACAAACTAAAACGAAACAAATATCCGGTCCTCCCTGATTTTGAATGATATCCCAAGTGAAACCGATCAGTGATGTATAAGGCTAACAGTGGCTCATTGTTAAACATTTAAATTTAAGCTATTCAGTAGATGGATTGAATACTTTTCCCCATTATTTCACTCAACCCATACGTATAGCATCACTAGTCTAAATCTAAAATATGTAGTCCAAAGCTGAGTTCATCAATTTAATTTGTTAACATAAACCTCATTATCTTAATACTCTACTTAACAGGCCCAAATCAACCGCCCAAGTTAAAAATACTTTCTATAATTTTAAACCCATATACGATCTGTAGATATTTCTATGATTCACAAACAAAAATGTCACAAGAGGTTACAAATTCGCATTACAAAAACACTTGATACAGACTAGTAGTTAACTCTAAATAAGATTAGTTTGTAGAGACTGTGGTAATTTGATAGTTGAATTTATGAGCCGATTAAAGCTAGACCACCATGGAAAACCTGAAAGTACTAGACGGCCTTTTCATCCTAATATGGGACTTTTCAGAAGTGCGTGATCCTAAATGCGGGACTTAGACCCAGCACCTTTGATATCACGCGCACACGCTTACCCTCTAGACCACTGAGCCGTCATCCAACGGTGTTAAGGTCCAAGTTCAGCTAATCCACAGTATTGCGCCACCGTCCATAATTATCTTCAATGAGTCACTACCTTATAACAGACAAGTTTGAACCCCATAAACCCCCAATATGATAATAATAATAATCATGTGCTCACTAGTGGTTGGCTTCAAAAGATATCTCCCAGAGTTCTAGTGAAAAGCTACGACCAATGGAGTTCAATCCGTGTTGGGTAGAGATAGGTATCTACCTCAATCAACGGGTAAATGGTTGCACAAAATCATGGATCGATTGAAGTTAGACATTAACACCATTGAATGATAGCTCAGTGGTTTAGAGGTTAAGCGTACGCGCACGATACCGAGGATGCTAAGTCCAAGTCCTGCATGCGGGATCGCGCACTTCTGATAAGTCCCATATTAAGATGAAAAGGCCGTCCAGTGCTTCCAGGTTTTCCATGGTGGTCTACCTTTAATCGGCTCATTAATTCAACTATTAAATTATTTAAATATTGTCGTTTTTAACTATAACCATTAAAAATACATGATAAGTTGACGTAAAATTATGTTCATGTACAAACACAACATCATCTCACTCAACTCTATTGTATTGAAATTATACCTCCTCAGAAGAAAAAAAACAACCTACGAGCTAACATTGATTGATCAGTATTCCTCCCCATAAACAAATCAATAAGAACCCCATATCATACAAAATATACACTTTATATTGAATATCTATCTATACAGTTATATAAAAGAGTAGATAAACAAATTTCGCGCTGAAAACAAAATCATCTATTGATAACTAAACGAATTGAAATAATAATTGAATTCTTCACTTTTGAATAGATCTCTATTGAGATGTATTCATTGTATTGTCTTTTCAACAACAAAAACTCTACAATTAATAAGACTATTAGTTATAAACTATCAAAAGCAGTTAAATAATAAGTATCATCATTGATTTCAATATTTTTAGCTTCTTGTTTAAGTAAAGGATAAATATTCTCTAAATACCATGTGAATGTATGACAATTTAATGAATTAGGAATAGTTCTACGTGATTTTAAATCACCAGCTGGTATTATTTTAGACATTGGTGATACTGTATAATAATAAGAAAGATATTCTCTAGCTAATGTTAAATTAGTATCATGTTGAAACCATACTAATACAGTACGTTTATGATTACGTAGAATAGTAAATTCTTTACCCATAGGAAATGTATATGGATGTTCATTATGAAATATATGACCAACACGACTACATGGAATGATTTCAATTTGTCCATGACACATCCATGTTCTAAGTGATAATTCAATATTTTCACCACCCCATATATTCATTTCTTCATCATATCCACCATAATTAAAAAAATCATCTTTCCATACAGCAAATAAACCACCAGCTAATGCTGGTGTTTTAATTGGATAAATTAAATGATATACATCAGTTTTATTAAATTTGATTGATAATGGTGTTACATTTTCATGAATATGATGCCATCGAAATATTAAATCCCATGTGAAACCTCCTAAATATAAATTATCTTCAATATTATCATAATTTGATTTGTCTAGTGTTGACAGGATAAGTGGACTGACAATAAAATGTCTTACATCATCTGTAATTGAATATAAACAATAAAACAAAATTAAACGTTACTAGAAGAATGAGATAATCATTTTGAATTGAAGCATTTTTAGAAATTAATGTACCAATAAGAATCATAGTTGTAATACTCTATCCTGAGTACATCCATATTGTCTTTAGACTAACATTCTACGTTTTGAATAATCCACTCTGTGACTGACAATGATTAATCTTCAGTTAAGAATGTAATAATCTAAATGCTTACTTGTCAAGATTCATCTTTTCTTCCATCCTAGGAAGGAGTTTTTTACAATCTTGAAGGAAATGACATCCCATGTGAAATTCTGCCTTATGACACACACATTCACACTCTAAGATGTCAGCATTGAGCTATTTAACATGATTTGAAATAATGCCTTGTTAATGAGTAGTAGACAGACTACAATCCAAGACAAAGATTTCCTGTTGACTGCTTTCATACCAATGTAACTGAAGAAAATATAGGTATATTCTTTATTTCTTATCTTACATTTTCGATTTCATTGAGTAATATCTAATTTACAAGAGATAGATGAAAAGTTGGTTAAACTAATTATCACTACCTCGTAACTATATGAAAGATAACTTAATGTAATTCTTATAACATTTAATCATAATCTAGGATCTTGTATGCTATAACTTGAAATCCTCTACATTTAAGACAATGAATTTCCATTAAAATTGTGATTAAATACTGGAACATTCATACACGGACATTTATTAACTTATCAGTTCTTTTACATTATCTCTAATGTAATAGCTGATCAGTTAACAGTTGTGACAATTCCAGTGAATGTCATCTCAGTCACGAATTACTTATGATAAATATAATACACAAATAGTACTTGAATTATCCGAGCCATCGTAAAGTATGGGTAGTGTTTGTGGTTTTTTCTAACATAAAGAGATATTCTTGAATAGATACTGTAGAATATATAAACATTCATGTAACAAAGTCTCCACAAGTAAATACACTCATATATTTCAAGTAATTTTATTAGAAACTATCATCATTTGCATTAGAGGTGAAAACGACGGAACGTTGAACAGTTATACCGTTCTAGTAAATTAAAAACACCAGCCATATCTGGGTAATTTACAAAGTATTCAGTTTTAGGAAAATTAACCCTAGAGATTTTTATCTGATAGTCACTAGACTATCTGCACTAACTAGTCACCAAGTAATAAACAATGTCAGTTTATCTATTTCTTAGTTCCGACCAAGTTCTTTTAAACACGTTCGGAATATAGCCACTGTATAAGGTCGCTTCACATATGATTAAGCTGTTTAATTTTACATACTAAATGTGTTCAACAAGAATCACTGGATTTTTTAGTTCATTCTTTTTAGTACTTGTCACCAGATTGTACATTAAAACCGGGTAGAAATGAATATCCTTTGACTCGAGTACCTCAGTGGTAACACCACTCATTGTTGGTATAGATTACAAATTCTATATGCGTATCAATTCTCTTAAGATAGCATATACTCTTTGTTGATATATTCCAACTAGCATATAAACTCGGTTCAAGACATTCTATCAACCGTCTTCAGTAATCTTACTCTGTACTACTGTATACATTCATTAGAATGTCTTTAAAATACCTAAAAGAAATCATGTTCCCTGGACTCTATCGTTAATAAATTTCACATAACATATATCACAATAAATTAGATTTTAACTATATAGATCAAATTGATTTCAGTTCTAAACTATTATTAATATAAGTATCAGAAGGGGTTGTTGTGGATATTATAATAATTTCAATAGTTGAGGTCATGAGTCATTTAAAGCTAGACAACCATGGAAATCCTGGAAGCACTGTACAGTCGTTTCGTCACATTGTGGGACTCCTCAGTAGTGCACATCGATGATCCCGCCTCGTGAGACTCGAACCCAAGAATATAAGAAATTAAGTTTTTTTACTCTGCAAATATAATGATAAGAATGCCTCATAATGATAGAAGAATTTTTAATTTATTAAGATGGAAATCAACAGAATGAAGTATTGAATAACTTCACAGTTTATCAAATCAATCTTGATAATTTAGTTATAAAACTTACAATAGGATTTTGTCATCATGCCCTCATTTATTTATTTACTTATTTGAACACATAAACATTGGTACAAAGGGGCACCGAATAGACATGCGCCACACAAGTCACTTCATTTGCATGTAAGGTGTGATACTGCCCTGATGACCAGAACGAAACAGGTGGTTTTCTTAGGGTGCCACGCCCGGAGACTTCGACTTATTGCCCCCAAATGCCCTGGTATGGCCGATGGTAAGGAGAGTTAGTTCTCCATATTGAAATGATTTCTTTTAGCCATGTGTATAAAGCCCCTGCCAGGGAAGTCTTACTCACTACCTTCTTGCGCCACGGGTGTTGTTTACGAAATTGAGAGGATGAAGAGCTAATGTCCGGTGCTTTAACCAGGTTGTTGGATATAGAGGATCCAACTATTGGAGTTGGAAAACCTTGATTCCAAACCATTGATGCACATGGGTTTCATGATTCTGAGGAAACAAACGGCGTATGAATGAATTATTTGTCACCAGCTACCATGGGACTGAATATCTTGCCCTTATTATTATTATTATTATTACCGTTTTGTATTTAATTTCTATAATGATAATTAGTAAGGGCTTAAATATTTGTGAGTTGGTTCTCTCACAACAAAGGATTTTTAAACTAATTGGAGCTCGACTAAATAATCTAGAAAGTAAGTGGAAGGAAAAATCATACTGAGAAACAATGTAGAAAATGCTATGCTGGATAATAAATCAATAATCCCACGTTAACTCCAATATGCGAACACACTGTTTTTAAACAAATAAAGATGGTTGAATTTCATATGATTTAGGCTTAAATAAACGTTGGTATACGCCTTTGAACAATAATAAAAAGGCTTATATGATATTAATTCTTTGACCTGCCCGAACTAAATACTTCACAATAGAGGAATATATTTATCTATCTTGGGTTCTTATTCAACCAGTGGAACTCATTCGTTATCATAGCTACTTCAGTATATGTTTAGCCGTCCTTACGTATTAGTTTTATCTATCATAAGATGTTAGTAGGAGGTTGGAGGGAAGCAACAGGAAATCATGGACATAGATTATGTCCATGTTGATAATAGCCAGCAAGACATGCCTATAAACTCGAGGAAGTCAAAATATCTCTTGAGATTGGGACCTAAAATATCTGATGTATTACAATTAAAACTATTCAAGCCATCTTTGCTCAATATTGATTATCCCCAGTCACCAAACATTAGACGACGCATAAAGAGTCATCAAATAATTTAAAACAATGGCCACATTTAAAATAGTTCAATCTAATCAATATTCAAGACTAAAATAACTATTAAGTGAACAATTAACATACATTTGATATTTTTATAAACCTAGATTAAACGTCGGAATTGTATCTAATCTTTTAGTATATTTGCATTTTATGAGGATTGTCTCGATATTGCCATAAAGTCACAAGCATTATAAGCAGATATAGATGGTGGTTAGCAGTGGAATCTAGAACTTTGTAGTCGGAAATCGTTTGAAGTTTTAACAGGAAATAATGTTGTACACTTTTATGATTACATTGCATCTCAGTATAACTGGTTGACTAAAATATTTTTCCCTATTAGGTTTACATATTTAAAAACTTATGGGTAATGATTTCTTCAGTGTCTCAATATACTTTAATGCCGAATTCCCCATTCTTAAACATACATCTGAATCGAATGTAGTAGCAAGTAGTTTGACGGATGACTAACTCTATTTCTTAGCACAATATTATGAGGCTACCTATCATAGATAAACTTTCGCACTGAACTTCCTTCAACGATCAGGCGGTCCTAATGATTTGATTAGTTTTGCTTGTGTTACTGTTTGGAAGAGGTCTGTGTAGTTAGCGTACTACTATTAAAGACTAGAAGATCCTAAGGAGATGGTCTTCTTAGCATTTATTAGATATTTTTTCATCCAGCTTGCTTTATTGACTATTTTATCCCATTTTCATACAAGTTACCAATCCCCAGTTCTTCTGAAATCCCACACTGTCTCAATTTGTCCTCACTAGTATGGGAAAATATTTCTCAATGCATGGTAAGCAGGCATAATAAATGAAGCTCAACAAACGTGAGAATAAGATAGACGTCACTGACATTTAAGGGGCACAAAATATCAAAAAATGACTGAAGTTACAGATGTGAACAGTAATATACGTACCTAATAATTTTCAAGTAGCATAGTCACTGCGATTCCTGATAGTTCGAAATTTTATGCAAGCGAAATTCACAGGTTCACAATTCTAAGAATCCAAGTACTGGAATTAAACAATCATCCAATTTCCCCAGGTTTTCAATGGTTTTCCAAACTATGTCAGTCAGTAATTTACTCTACTTTCAAATTAATGAACATTTAGATTACCAGGTAGACAATTTTGTTCAAACTTATTGGTATAAACGAATCTTGTTACTACCAATAACTGAAGATCTTTAGTAAAATCCTTCGTGAGGTTCTAGTTTTGAAATCTCAAATTGGAACAAAAAAGCTATCGAGTATTCGATAATATTCAATTTCTCATCTTATCTTATACTTCAAACAATCCCTCACATCAAGTGAATGAAGATAGCGTTGGGCACTCACAGTCAATATATCGAAATTTCCCTATAAAATAAAATTTCTTTATTTGCTTGACACATGGGATATTAATTCTATACCAATCAGTTTGGGTTAAATTTTAAATGTAATCATGTATCATGTGATGAAATCATAGTTTATGAAATAAGTCTAATGATATAATCAAATGGTAATCTTACATGATAATTTTGAAGTTCTTTTCTCATCCTGTTGACTCGGTAGATTTAGTTGTCCATGTTTTTCTTGTTGGTGTTGTTTCCTTAAGCTTATCAGTTGGACAACTAACGGTTCTAACCAATATTCCAATGTTTCAACATGAGCATCAAGAAATACTAGTATCTCACCAGTAGCATTCCGTGCACCATTCATACGTGATTTAATTAAACCCACTCGATTTTCATTTCGTATTACACGTATCTATATAAGTATAATGTATATTAAAGAATTATATATCAAAGTAACTTATTTATCATATACAAGTTGTACATAAATAATTATACTGTAGTCATTTGTAATTTTCTTTAAAATGAAAAATTTTCAACTTCATGATTGAAAACATTTTGTAGCATCTGTTCGTATATCTGCTTAGTAGTGTAAGTACTGATGGTAGTTTGAGTAGTGAAATTAATTTACGCTTAGTGAAAGCCAGACGAGTTTATGCCAATTTAGGCCATCTTTGACTTCCTTATGATGTTAGTCTGGCTGTAAAAGACAGGATCTACAACGCGTCAGTGAGAACAGTTTTTCTCAATGCTTGTGAAACCTGGCCTCTCTGAGTTGAGGATATTAAGAGACTATCCGCGTTTAGTTCTCGTTTTCTCCGGAAGATTGCTGACATTCAACCGAGACACCATGTTAGTAATATGAAGTTTTGGAAACTTGTTTTCTGGCACAGAGATGATTATTCGGTTGATGTCACCATTTTGAAACACATATACAACGAATGTTATATTAGCGAACTCCATATTCTGTATTATTTGCCGACGCTGGAACTGCTCAGAAAATGTAGAAAGGTGATCAGTATATGACATGTTGTCGCGCTATGAAAAAACCTATACAGGAATGGCATTTATTCATCCTATTCGAACCTCTAGTTGCAGTCCTAATGATAGTATAACTCAGTGGCTTGAGATGGTATCATACATGTCTCAGAATGGGAGTGGCGTTCCTACCATAACATTCTTTCACTTTCTTCATAAAGTTGAAAGTAACTTCTTCAATCGATAGAATCCTTTTTGGTTGTATTTCTCTTAACTGAAATTCTTTCCCCATTGTTGTTATTGTTCTACTCTCAAGTATTAATTTCTACTGAGTTTTCTTTTTCTTATTACAATCACCTTTTCTCTATCTCTTCACGATTTCATTTTTACTGTGCGATGCATATATATTTTGATGCCCCTTATACAAATGTTTACGTGTTCAAATATATAAATTGCTCTTTGTTGACATTGAAGAATGATTTTATGTGAACAGAAATTGGATAAATGACAATAGTTAAGTTTCAATACAGTACCTATTTGACATGTTAAATGAAGATACTTAGTTCCATGTTCTTAAAACTAGAATTTAAATGCTTTTAAGGTGTAAGGCTTGAAAGTAGTATAACTGATATTATGACTAACTTACAACACGAATTTATTTATTAGGACACATAATTATTGGTACAAAGGGGCACCGAATACATATGCACCACACAATTCACTGCATTTGTGTATGGGACGTGATACTACTCAGGTGCACGGACTGAAACAGGTGGTTTTCTCAGAGAGCCACACCCGAAGCCTTCGACCTAAAGGTCTGATCTACAAGGCAGTGGAGTAACGTCAGGAGTTGCAGTGTCATGATAACCGGTGAGTAATAATTGATTCATACGCCATTTGTTCTCTCAGGATCGTTGATCCCATGTGTACTAATGGTTTGAAATCAGGATATTCCAACTTCCATAGGTGGACTCTTCATATCCACCAACCCGGTTAAAGCGCCAGACATCCGCTTTTCGTCCTCTCAATTTCGCAAAAAAAAGTAATGCCGTGAGAAAGCAGTGAGTAAGACTTCCGTGTCAATGATTGTATGCACGTAGTTATGTGAGAGCATTTGAAGTGGGAGAGTTAACTCTCCCCACTGTCGGCTGTACTAGGGCATTTTGGTTCTACAATATGAATAGTCAATATTCTATTCCACCAACTAACTAAACTATATACATAAAATAAATCCAGGTCTATAATAATAATACACATTCATAATCAATTTCCTGACATAAACCACGACAGATGATGATTTAAAAATACATAAAATCTATGACAAGAATAAAGAAGAAAAACCAAATCCAATGACATATTTTTCATCTATTTCTGAGTAATGATATAACAAAATATTAGACTTATAAATTTGAATATATAACAGTACAATGAAACAACTGTTAAGTTGATGTTACAGAATAAGAAAATAGAAATTTTCAAATTTCTACATTATTTTTTTCAGTTTCCTTCCTAACAAACATTCATCTTCAGAAGGGGTTTTGTGAAGATTTTCAACAATTTCAGTGGTTGAGATCATGAGTCAATTGAAGCTAAACAACCATGAAAAACCTGGAAGCAGTGGATGGCCGTTTCGTCCTATCGCCAGACTCCTCAACAGCGCGCATCCACGATCCCGACCCCCACGAGATTCGGACCCAGGACCCATGAGTCTCGCGCGCGAGCGCTCAACCATTAGACCACTGAGCCAGCCGGCATGCAACGGTGTTAACGTCTAACTTCAGCCAATCCACGAAAGCACTCCAACGTCTGCTATTGTCATCAGTGAGTTACTATCTCACAACAAACCCGATTGAACTCCATTGGTCACAGCTTCTCACTAGAACTCCAGAAGTAACTCTTGAAGTCAGTTACTAGTGAGCAGGTGATTATTATCAGAAGAGGATTTTGGAGATCTTAATAATTTCAATAGTTGAAATTATGAGTCAATGGAAGCTAGACCACGATGGAAAACATTTATTTAATTAATTCATGAACTTGATATTATTTAAAAGAAAAAAAGTTTTTTGTTTCTAACTTGTAGTTACTTAACCAATAATTAGATGAATAAGTTCAGTACAAAGTGTAACTCTAGAAAAACATCTTTGAATTGATGTAAGAAATAGATTTGATGTTTAATTTAAGCTTATTCGTTAATATAATTACTGTAAAAATTTAGAAGCCACCTTCAATATATCATTTGGTTATGATAATAATAATCATTTCACAGATATTTGTTTAGAGAACCTTTTTACGGTTAGATACTACTAATAAAAGGTTTTCCAAAAACTGTATGTGTTAGTAGTAAATGTAAAATAAGATAATTGTTTGGTAGGTTAAATAGTATGATCTCAACAATAGCTGCTAGCCTGGAATGATTGTATGACTTATTTATTGTGTCAAACTAAACATCTTATATCACTTCGAATATTTTTATTTTGAGATCCTAGTATATCAGTCAGGTTAGTTGTAAAGGGATGTCAGAGCCCGAAGTCATGTCACTGACTGTATCAAACTATAGTGACAGTAGGATACTTCCTTAGATAACCTATATCTCTGCCAATTATATCTTCCTTCAAACAGAAAGTCGTTCATGAATAAAAATATATTATACTATCTCTTAATCCTGAAAATTATTAATACAGAGCAATAAAATCCACTCAGAGGAAGGTAGAATGTAAGTGGTCTTAACCAAATTTCCCTTGAAATATACAATCACACTATATATATATATAGATTTGAACCCAGGATGTATCAGTTTCGCATGTGATCGCTTAACTTCTAAACCACTGAGACGGCCTTCATCCAATAGTGTTAATGTCTAACTTCAACTAATCCACGAAATTGTACCACCATTGTTTAATAAATTTGCTAATAATTCTAGCAATGATGAAACAGAAACTATTTAGAATCAATGAAACCTTTTACCAAGATATTAGAATCAATTAGCAAGTAAAATCAAGAGTCCAGACTGAACTTCATTCATCATTTAACTAAGAAATAGAACCATATTCATTTTAACAAAAAATAAAAATCATTATTTTTTTTTAATTTTTCAGTGATTCTTTTTGTTTTATTTTATTTTTATTTTTGTTTTTCTTCTATTTTTCTTTCTTTTGTCTATTCTTTCAACTTAACTAAGATATTTATCTATTTCTATAGAGAAAAAAAAACGAAAAGAAAAAGAACTGTCAATAATTTTTTTTTGTTGTGAAAAGAGAAAAAAACTGCGGCCGAAATTCATGCAACCTTGACATTTTCCTAAGTAATAGATTTTTTTCTTTTTTTTAGTCTTCATAATAATTCTATTATAGTATGATAGTTTAATATAATTGTATGACACTAAAAATGAAACTGAAAATACACAAATTACGCTATAGATAGATAGATAGATAGATAGATAGATAGATAGATAGATAGATAGATAGATAGATAGATAGATAGATAGATAGATAGATAGATAGATAGATAGATAGATAGATAGATAGATAGATAGATAGATAGATAGATAGATAGATAGATAGATAGATAGATAGATAGATAGATAGATAGATAGATAGATAGATAGATAGATAGATAGATAGATAGATAGATAGATAGATAGATAGATAGATAGATAGATAGATAGATAGATAGATAGATAGATAGATAGATAGATAGATAGATAGATAGATAGATAGATAGATAGATAGATAGATAGATAGATAGATAGATAGATAGATAGATAGATAGATAGATAGATAGATAGATAGATAGATAGATAGATAGATAGATAGATAGATAGATAGATAGATAGATAGATAGATAGATAGATAGATAGATAGATAGATAGATAGATAGATAGATAGATAGATAGATAGATAGATAGATAGATAGATAGATAGATAGATAGATAGATAGATAGATAGATAGATAGATAGATAGATAGATAGATAGATAGATAGATAGATAGATAGATAGATAGATAGATAGATAGATAGATAGATAGATAGATAGATAGATAGATAGATAGATAGATAGATAGATAGATAGATAGATAGATAGATAGATAGATAGATAGATAGATAGATAGATAGATAGATAGATAGATAGATAGATAGATAGATAGATAGATAGATAGATAGATAGATAGATAGATAGATAGATAGATAGATAGATAGATAGATAGATAGATAGATAGATAGATAGATAGATAGATAGATGAATAACTGAAAATGAATGTAAATCTTAATGTTAATCGAATTCTTAGAAATGGAAGCTATGTAGGCAGTAAACTTTGAAAGTACAATATCATTCATCTAAAAATCATACTTGGTACTTTGAATTCACCCAAATATTTCTTGTGAAAGTTTTACTATCTGACTACACAACCTAGTGGTTAGGAATCAAATACTTTGACCA